TGCCTTTCTCTCCTGGCGAGAGAGTGATCTTTTTTTTTTTTTTTTTTGTTACGGGAGTGGAACATATTTCCTGTAGTGGCTCCTTAAGCTTGACTCATTCCATGGAACTGCTCAGAAAGGTGGCAGTGTATACTTCAGATCTGCAGGATGCTGGGTAACGAGCAGACTGACTCACTGAAGAGAACAGAAGTTATTGGGGGGGGGTGAAGGGAGGGAGTCTGCTGCTTTTTGAGTGAGAATTTAGGGTGCCGTATCTGGGTTGTTCAGCAGCTGTGGCAGAGTAGAGAGTCTGGAGTGAAGTATTTATCTCCCAGTGAACAAGAGGACAGTTCTGGGCGTGCGTGTGTGTCTGGGTAGATAAGGTTAGGGCAGATAATTTTTCATTTCTCATTCTTAGAACTAAATATTGGGAAAGATCTGCCTTATGTCATTTGGGAGGGAAAGGTTTGCTACCAGAGCGCGGCGTTTGCTAAACACGGGTTCCACTGCTGCAATACAGCTCTTCCAGTGCCAAGAATCAGCCTTGTGGAGAGAGGAAGCAGAGGGTTCGTTGGCAAGGCTGTGTGTGTGTGTGTGTGCGTGCGTGCGTGCGTGTGCACGTATGCACACACACGCACCCAAGCTGCAGGTAGATTTTTGGTATGCCAAGAAAAAAAAAAACATTGTGATCTCAGCTGGGCACAGTGTGGAGGCTCTTTTCTCCTGGGCATCTTGGGCGGAACCACAAGAGGATCTGAGGCCAGGAATTCTGATTGCTTTCAGTCTGGGCCTGAGTTTGGGAGGCAGAGTTGCAGGGAACAGCCTCACTCAGACATCCTTGGGTGTCAGCTGGACACCACCAGAGGAAAAGAGATAAGACGCCACCTGGGAAGTTCACAGAATATCAGGGTCTCACTTTCTCTCACTGACTGCTGTTACAGGTTAGCACAGTCATTTTATGACAGCCGCTAGCCAGGAAGTCTTTCTGACTTGTAGAAGCAAGAAAACAAAACAAAACAAAACAAAAAAAGGGCTAATGGGTCTGAGGTGCAGCACAGTGTGTCCTGACAACGCAGACTGCAAAGTGCAAGCTGAATGAAATGGAAAAGAGTAGCATCAGGTGGACGGACACGACACTGGTTGAAGGTGGCAATTGCTTGTACTCAGGCAGCCTGGGTCCATGTAAGACTAAGTCATTTTAGAAGTCTAAAGTTCAAGTTTCTCCTTGTCAGTTCTCCTTGGCCACTCACCCACCTCCAGTGTGGTCTGTGTTGCTTAGGATACAGTCAAAGCAATGAATGATGCAGAGTATTTCAAACAGGGAATTTATTAACCCACAGTGCACGTGTGTGTGTGTGTGTGTGTGTGTGTGTGTATGCACACATATGTAGTTACATGTGTGTGGTATGTGCATGGTATCTGTATGGAGATCAGAGGACACCCTTCAGTGTGGACCCTCAGAGTCCTTCTACTTTGTGTTTGAGACAAAGTCTGTCTTTGGCCTGGAACCTTACCTAGTTAGTCAGGCTAGCTAGGCCTAAGAGCATTAAGCAATCTCCCATATCCTCGTGGCTGGGATAGTAAGCATGTGCCTGTCCTCCCCATAGCTCTGGTGATGCTAATTTAGGTTCTCATGCTTGCAAGGCAAGTACTTTATTGACTGAGACAGCTCCTTTACTGAAATTCCTCCTGCTGTGGCCAGGAGATTGGCAATAGCGATAACGCTCAAGGGTGAGAGTTGGTGGGAGGAACTGGACCTCGTGGGGAAAGCTGGAATCAGGAATGCGCACACATCTGAAGGGGGCTGCAGCTGCCCTGTAAAAGCAGCCCAAGGCAGAGAGGTTCTGGATCTCACTTAACCCTTGTCCATCAGTACCAAGTTTCTCACTTGGCATCTTCTGTTGGTCAAACCCAGCCAGACATGAATTTGAGAAATGGGGCCTCTCTGTGATAAGCTCAAGCACAAGTCTGTTAGGAGTAATTATGAGTCCACCAGCTTTTTTTGTGAGGATCCAGCACCGACACATCATTCCGATTAGCCCACAATGCTGGCTGAGCATCCTACCGGAGTGCTGACAGCTCTTAGTCACACGAGTGCACTCAGGTAGGAGTTTCCAGGAGAGCTGGTGGGCCCTCCCTGCAGCTGTCAGAGGAACAAGCGTTCCTCTGCCGGGACAGATGGTTGCCAGCGTTCATAATTAAGAAACAGCTGCCGGAGCTGAAAGGCAAAGGGATTAAGGAATGGTATCTCGGCACTGGTGAATTTGGAGTGTGGTTCAAGGTGAACAGGGGCATGGGAAGGACCTGACAGGAAGAGGAAGGAAGGAGGAGGGCCAGTCTTGTTGGGGAAGAGCGGGTGGATTTTCCTGGGAGAGGAATGGGTCCTCCAGTGCTTGGAGGGGCAGGAAGTAATAATGTGTGCCTGTGTGCTTCCGACCAGCGTGAGACAGGGTAAGGAAAGGAGGCAGCAGAGGGATTGGAGAAGCTGATGAAGGACAGATCTCACATACATCTTGGTCTTCCTGTAAGAATATCCAGTGTCTTATACAGGTGTGCGGGGACAGTGGGGACTGCTTGAGATTTTGTGTGTGGGTATAGCTTGTACCTTGGTTTTCTTAAGGGTTCTCCTGTCCTTGGAACACTGGGCCAGAGCCCTAAGAGCATGTAGGGGCCGAGGAGCACACGCATCCTTGGTGCCCTCCCCACTCACTCTGGACACTGGGAATTCTGCCTGTGTTATGTTAAGAGCTGACTCTCGCTTCTTTTCTTTTTTTTCCCCCAACAGGTGGATCTTGAGCGAACCTTTACATTTCGAAACTCAAAGCAGACCTACTCAGGGATTCCCATCATTGTGGCCAACATGGACACGGTGGGGACATTTGAGATGGCTGTGGTGATGTCACAGGTGAGAGCTCAGGCACTTCACTAGACCCTCAGCTCTTTTTGAGGGTGGTGATGTCCGGTGCCTGGACTCTGTCACTTTTTGCTGAGTCTGTTGCAAGGAGCACCCCCTTCCTGCTTCTGCAGGTAAAAGATGTTCATGTCTGAACTCGGCCCTCTGCGAAGTGGTTCAGATCTGCTCCTGTCTCTCCTGTGAAAAGGCCTGTGATGGTTTTAAAGTCAGACTTTCAAAAGAACGTTAGGCGGCCATCACCTTTGTTCTGAAAGTAGCCACTTTGTATTCGCATTTGTAGCATTTAATCTGTTGTGTTGGGGAGTGCTCACTGTTTCTGCTGTAATGTATCTCTCAGTCCTTATCAGAACTCCATGGGCTAGGCGCCTTTTGCAGATGAGGAGTCTGAGGCAGACAGAGAAAGAGGAGGGACATCTTGCCCAGGGCCTTCAGTCAAGTAGGGAGGCAGGGCATGAACACAGTGACCCCAGAATCTGTACAACAAGCTCTAAACTGGATGGATCCCAAGGCAAGTTCAAGGTTTCTTTTGACTAGTGTCTTGGCCTAGCCAAGGCATTTGTTGCCTCACAGAGCTGTGTGTCTGTTGTGTATCTGTTTCTGCTGGCCGTGTCTGCCAAGTACAAAGATAAATGCAATTAGTCGGAACAGCTTCTCACTGTGGGGTGGCAGGTCTGACCACGGGAGGCGCTGGGATTCATCATTAGGCAGCGATGAGGAAGAAAAGATTCTCAAATTATGAGCTCAGAAAGTGGAGTGGGGGTGGGGGATCGCCCACCTGGCTGAGGATTGGCTGTTTGTCAGCTCTAAGCCTCTGCTGGAGGGAGAGGTCTGAGGCAAACAAATTAATTGCTGAAGGAATGTGGTTTTTTTTTTTTCCTTCCTAATCTTTCCCTTGCTTTGTTGGTAATGACGGCTTGTGACTATTGTTTAGTGTATGTGGTAGGTAGTGTGAGAAAGTGTCCCTGAAGGTCCATGTGTTTAAAGGCGTTTCCCAGGGTGGTGCTTTTCAAGGGAGAAAAGCCTTTAAGAGATGGGGCCTGGCAGAAGGTCCTTAGGTCATGTGTGGCCTTGAAAGGGAGTGCCGGACCCCAGGGTCTTCCTCTTTCCTCTACTCCCTGACTGGCTATAAGGTGAATGGTTTTGATCTGTTCTGTACTCCCTTGGCGATGTGCTGACTGCCACAGCCCCTCAGGATCAGTGGGACCCTTCAATAGAGCAAGCCAAATGAAACTTTCCTTGTTATAAGTTAATCTTCTCAGATACTTTGTCACAGCGATAGCAAGCTAACTGTATAAAAGGGTGTGGGGCTCCAGGAACAACGGAGAATAACCTGGAACTTGCTGTGCCCTATCCCTCTTCACGGGAAAGTTTCCCAGGAACACCAAAGCCTACACTGGTAGAGGTAACCAACCATGTGTGGGTTCTGTGAGTTTACCCGATTTAGGCTCCACAGACAGTGTGAATTAATAGAGTCACAGGATTTTAGAGTGGGAAATTGGAGGTGTCAGGGTGATTCAGAAGTTAGAGGAGAGGCCTCCAGGCAGGGGAGTTTGATTCTGGCCACTGGTGTAAGCAATTGCTAAATCAGTTATCTCTTCCTCTTCCGCCCCACACCCCTTTTTGAGGTAGGGTCTTGCTATGTAGCTCTGGCTGGCCTCCAACTGCCCGCAATCCTCCTCCAGCCTCTACTCCCAGAGTACTAAGTGCTGGAGTTTTAGGCGTGTGCCTCCATACCCAGCTTTGTTATATATTTCTTAAATCACTTAAATGACAATAAGTCTGTTCAGCGTTGTTCTGAGAATTCAGTGGCGTCTGCAAAGCATTGGCCCAGGGGTGGTAAAGCGTGGCTCAGTTGTCAGAGAGGTAGGGTTAGCTACATAACCACCCCCTCCAGTGTTGGCTTTCAGCAGGAGGTATTTGGGCTGTGAATCGGAGGAAGCCCTGACTGTAAGGCGAAAGTCCTTTGGTTGTCCGAACATGAAGCTTGCATTAGGATGGTCACTCTTCAGGTCTTGAGGACCCCACCTGCCTTGGGTGTGGGCAAGAGCTAGGTGGCTCAGCTGGGTAGAAACGCCTCCTTTTTTTTTTTTTTTTTTTTTTTTTTTTTTTCTTCTCTTGCCTTTTGGCAGCGGTTCTCAGGCTGACACAGGTTGTCTGATCGCATCAAAGCAGGAGGCCATTTCGTGATCCGCTGCTTTACTGCGTACACCTTTGTTTGGTTTTGGCTCCTGGGGACACATTCAGAGCAAATTAGGCATGAATGGCAGACGCAGACACTCTCGCCCGTGGCTAACCCCAGCAGGCAGAAGGGGAGACGGGCTCCCCGGCTCCCTCCTGACAATCCGGTTTTGTTTCCTAGCACGCCATGTTTACAGCCGTTCACAAGCATTACTCCCTGGATGACTGGAAACGGTTCGCGGAAAACCACCCCGAGTGCCTGCAGGTATGAGGACGGGCTACGTGACAAGGGCTGAGGGGAAAGAAAAGTCATCAATGACTTGTTAAGAGCATTTAAATGTGTACACGGGAGGCTAGCGGGTCGATGCCAGGATCGCGCTGAGGAAAACTCCAGGAGTTACCTGTGAGGTCAGCTTCACCTTAGAGAGTAAACATCCATCACCAGCACCTGGGAAAGGCCTTGCTTTCTGCCAGGGGTTTCCAGGTGAAAACCTGCTTTTTCCCCCGGCTACAGACAGCGCATCCTATTATAACAGATTGTCTTTTATTTCAATACCTTATACACCTGCTAGGGTGGCTGCGGGTAGAATGGCGTGAGAGGTGTTGGGTATGTGAAGAAATTGGAATGCTCTCATGTAGCTGAGAGGGATGCAGGTACTGAGGCTGATTTGCAAATAGCCTAAGAACTGCTTGTGCTGGGTACTTTAATGAGAGTAGGGGACCCCAATTAAGATGCTTCCATAAGATCAGGCTGTGGGCAAGCTTGTAGGGTAGTTTCTTAGTAATTGATTGGGAGGGCCCAGACTATTGTAGGTGGTGCCATCCTGGGCTGGTGGTCCTGGGTTCTATAAGAAAGCAGGCTGAGGAAGCCATAGGGAGCAAGCCAGGAAGCAGCACCCCTCCATGGCCTCTGCATCAGCTCCTGCCTCCAGGTTCCTGCCCTGCTTGAGTTCCTGTCCTGATTTCCTTGGACACAGAAGCCAAGCAAACCCTTTCACCTCCAAGTTGCTTTGGTCAGGGTGTTTCATCACAGCAATGATAACCCTGACTAAGACACTCAAGAGAGTGAGCATGAGTTACCATCTGTGAATATGTGAAACCCCATAGTCACACATGTACTTGTTCATGAATGCTCATAACATTTATAATAGTCCAGAGGTAGGAACTGTAAACTGAACAACTAAAATGTCTGGTTGACGGACAAATAAAATAAAATGTATCGACATGAGAGAACACTATCCAGCCACAGAGGGAATGAAGCCCTGACTTATGCTATAGTGTGAACAAGCCTTGAGAACATTTTGCTGAGGGAAAACCAACACAAAAGCTCACACGTGTGAGCTCATCGACACTAATTGCCCATGGTGGACAAATCCACGAAGACATGGTTATCTGGGTCTGGTAGCAGGAGGAAGGAGTTAAAGAGTAATGTCTACGAGTCACCTGGAACCAGGCCTGGTGCCATACATAGCCTGTAATCTCAGCTACTTAGGAGGCTGAGGCAGGAGCTTAAGGTGAAGGGTAGCCTGTCTCTAAAATAAAATAAACAGAAGCTTGGGATGCAGCTCAGCGAGGGTTTACCCCTGTGAGGACTGACGAGTGTGGGACACCTTACATTTAGTACTCAGTTCTAACAACAGCAACAAGAATTCTCTGGGAACCAGGAAAGTGTCCTATAGCAATAATATAACTAAATATAGATAAAATCCTTGTGCACTCAGGTGGTGCCTTACTTTAAGTTTCTGTTGCTGTGATGAAGCACCATGACCAAAAGCCACCTGGGGAGGAAAGGGTTCATCCCATCCTGCAGCGTGCACGTTGTGTGTAGTCCATCATCTAGGGAAGTCAGGGCAGGAAGTGAAGCAGAGGCCGCCGGGGAGTGCTGCTTACGGTTTGCTCAGCCTGCTTGCTTCTATCACCCAGGACCACCAAGTCCGGGGCTGGCACTGTCTGTAAGTGAGCTGGGGCCTTTCACATCAGTCAAGAAAATGTACCACAGGCCAGTCTGGTAGGGGTCGTTTTCTCAATTGAGATGCCTTCTTCCGAAATGACTGTAGCTTGTGTCAACCTGACATAAGACTAGCCAGGGCAGGTGACTTCCATGCTGGGTTGCTATGTCTCAGGAGCCATGTTCCACTAAGTAAATGGGTGTTTAAAAATGCTATCGTAAGCCCTCCCATAGCATGACTGAGTTTCCTTTCAGTACATTCTCCTGGGTCTAAGCCAAATACAGCAGTGAGGTCTGGGCCTGCCTCTTTGTGGGCAGGTCATTTGTAAGGAGATAACGATTTTGGATGCTGGCATGGCTGCGGCTGCTGTCACTATGATTTAATTAGGCATGGACTTTTACTACAAAAATGTTGGCTTAAGAGATACAATAATTCTGGCTCAATAGAAGGTCTTTTGTGTCTCTGAACAACATAGTTGTTCCTTGCTGGTGGTTGGTGTCTCCTTTTAGGTTCCTTGCAGATGCCAAAGTCCTTGGTTGTTGAGGTCCTGTAGATCTACATATAACCTATACATATCCTTTTGTAGATTTAAATCATGCAAATCCCATGTAGCTAATTATTGCAGGCACATGCTATGTAGAACAACAAAACAACAACCCCATGTCAACCTGGTTGTAGTTTTTTTAAAAAAAGACTTATTTTTATGTGTGTGTTTGCTTGCATATATGTATGTGCATTACATGTATGCCTAGTATCCACAGGGGCCAGAGGAAAGTGTCGGATCCTCTGGAGCTGGCATTACATATGGTTGTAGGCACTTGTGTAGGTGCTGGGAACCAAACCTGGGCCCTCTGAAGAGCAGTAAAGCACTTTTACAAAACCACCGAACCATCTCTCCAGCTCCTGATTTTATCTATCTATTCCTTTGTGATACAATGTCTTAGTTATCCTCTTCTGTTTCTGAGCTGAAATACTCTGCCAAAAGCAACTTAAGGGAGGGCGTATTCCATTCAGTACAGACTGTCATGGCAGAGCAGTCAAGGCAGCAGGAGTTTGAAGCAGCTAGTCTCCTGTATCCAGTCAGGAAACAGACAGCGATGAATGCTCACTGCTGCTCAGCTCCCCATCTCTGTTTACGTATGTCCCAGCATCCCAGCAAAGGAGCGGCACTCCAGGTCTCCCACCGCAAACCAGGTAATCCCGGTAATCTCCCAGGTCATTCTAGACTCTCTCAAATTGAGAATGCTAACCGTCACACAGGTGTGGCATAGTTCGGACTGGTCTTAAGCACTCTTGAGGCCGAGTCATGTCCTAGCCACACATTTCCTTGACCTGCAAACGGTTGTTGCCCTCACTTGTCATTTCTGGAAGCTTCCCATGTTGCCCTTCTGTGAGTTTCCCCATATGACACATTTGCATCTGTGGCTCCATGCGCAGCACAAAGTTCTACACAGCAAGCATGAGAAAATGGAGTAGAAGCCAAGGACAAGGTCCACTGAGTATTTCAGAATCTGTTTACTGTGAGGTTTTGTTGCCGAGACCCACGTTCAAGGATGGGTTTAAGTCAAGGGTAGGAAAGAAAACATGAAGTTTAGATCATGAAAGGAGGAGGTCTCCTTTACCTCCACTGTTGTTTGTCTTTTGTACAGAGCCTCTGTGTTAGCTCAGGGTAGACCTCAGAGGGTTGCTGGATGGAGGGGAGGGACTTCCTGTGAGTTCTGCTGTTTATGGCTGTCTCCTGTGCTTCACTTTGCCACAGAATGTAGCCGTGAGTTCCGGCAGTGGGCAGAATGATCTTGAGAAGATGAGCCGCATCTTGGAAGCTGTGCCCCAGGTGAAGTTCATCTGCCTGGATGTGGCCAATGGGTATTCAGAACATTTTGTGGAATTCGTGAAACTGGTCCGATCCAAATTTCCTGAACACACCATCATGGTAAGTATGATGGGATTCTCTCAAAATGAGGAAGCTAGAAGATGCGGTATGCTGAGGATGGGACCTGCTCCCTTTCCATAGCTTTTGTTGCAAAAGTAATTTCGAATCCCCAGGAAAGGCACAGGTCAGCATTAGGGAAGACCAGAAGAACTAGCTTTCCGCTAAAACATGAATATGGTCCTGATCAACATCATGGTTGTTGGCCGCTTATTTTTGATAAATGGCATCTACTGGCGGTTACCAGATGAGACCTGTAAAAGAGAGAGAGTGTGGGGTCTTCGTGGATACAGTATATTTATTTTTAAAATTGAAAACACACGCCGGGGTTCTAGTTCAACGTGCTGTCCTACACCCTGCCCAGCCTTGGCAGTTAGATAGTTATGCCACTAGGGTTATACTCTGTGACATCATCCTTTTATGGGAGTCAATTAATGATGGCAGGTTGGTTGAGATGGTGTCACAGCTAAGATCTTTGTTTTCTGACTTTTCTATCCTTTTCTGTATGTTCCCAATTATTAGCACTTTTATCTGCTAAATGTATGTTCACTGCTCACAAGAGTGAATTGGCTCAAAGGAGGTGGCAATCACTAGAGTCAAAGTTGACCTTTGGTGGGGAGGGGAACCTGTGTTTATGCCTGCCTTGCTGGCCTTAGTATGGCAAGTAGGGAACAAACAGCTCATGATCTGTTTTTGAACCTATTTGCCTCACATTTCCCTGTCAGGAAGTTGGTGGTCAGGCATTGCCCTGTTGGTGGAGTTCAGTTGTCCCTTGAGGGACCTTTCTTCACTAACTTGCTTTTGGTCATGGTCATGGTATTTTATAACTTCAGCAAACAAACAGAAACCATAACAAAAACAAGTAATCCAGATATCACCTCATGGGAAGAAAAATGAGCCAAGGTCCTCTTACCCTTCAAAGCCATACGCTTATCAACCTGCTTTCTTCACTCAACTCCTGTCACTTGTTTCACTATGAACTCATTGGTAGTTTAATCAATCCACCAGTAAAGTCAGTACCCTCTTGATCTAGTCACTTCCCAATAGCACCTTCAGCTGAGAGCTGAGTCCTTTTGAGGAGCTCCTTCATACCCATGCCTGAACTTCCTGAGATAGACTTCTACTGATAAAGCTGCCAGGAGAATCTTTCTCTTTTGAGCCTTTGGTTTGGATTCTTGGCACAGCTCATCTATGGTCTTCCCCTCCCTTGAGATAGATCTTCAGATCTTCATCTGACTTCTCTACATCTCTCATAGCTTTTGCTAAATTGGTAAGCCAATCAGTGTGTGTGTGTGTGTGTGTGTGTGTGTGTGTGTGTGTGTGTGTAAGAAAGAGAGAGAAAAAGAGAGAGTGTGTATCTAGGAGCCACTCTAGCAAATTACCTGAGAAGGCGGTCATTGAATCTTGGATTTAAAACCAAGCCAGGTAGGAACTCTGAGCCTACTGCTCAGGGTTGGCTTTTGATGTGTGAAGCAACCTTGTGGGACTGAGCTCAGATAAGTGGGACCTGACACTATCTCCAGGTACCATCTGAACTGAGTTGAGTCTTAGGACATTGTGCTGGGAGTTATTTAGTGCTTGGGAAAACACCCGCATGTTTTGATTGCAAAACGTGTGTTTGTTGCATGTGAAACAACATGTTTAGCATTCTTCTACATTCATAAGTACTGCAAGTATTTCAAGGAAATGCCAGTTCCCTCTCTTGTTTCTGACATCTCGGTAAAAGATTAGGAACAAGCTACCCCATGTTGACTGCAGACCAGGAATCTTAAACTCTGAAATTGCTCTTCGGCCTGGGCATTTACCACAATGCCATATTGACATAAAATAACCAGTCTGCTTTTGGAAGAAAGCCCTAAAGGCAAAGCCTGTTTCTTATGCTGCACGTGTAGACCATTTGTCCTTGTTAACCTTCTACCGGGCAGTATGGGTGAAAAGGACAGCGCTTTTGTTTCTAGTTGGGAAGGCCTATATCAGAGCATGGTGGAGTTGCTATCCCTTCCCGTAGCCTTTGCAGTAACTGACTTCGGGCCGCTTAAAAGAGGGAAGAAAAACCTGGAATTCCAGGAGAACAGAGGCCCCAGGCCCAGACTGGGATGTGGTGGTCATGAATAAATAGCACTTGATATTAAAACTTAACATCTCTGATTACCTGTCAGGCATATAGAAATCCCAACATGTACTTGTTGGGGATCTGGCGCCCCTTCATGGATTCTCCCCAGTGAGATGGGCAGAGGAGGAAGGGCCCAAGGTCGCTACAGGGGTCCGGAAGGGTCTGCAGGGGTCCGGAAGGGTGGGATCTCCCTCTGTTTCTCTAGTTCCTCCGGAGACATGGAGTGTTAACAATTGACCCCTCATGCAACGCAGGTTGTGTACAGAGGATTAACGGGAAATGACACAGGCTTAAGGAGGTGGCTTAGCGGCTCTGCTTCACATCTCTGGTAACTTTATAAACCGTGAAAAGTACACAAACAGGGATATTTGACAGGTGGTTATAAGCCCTGCGTCAGGACACTCCCTCCCCCCCCAGTTCTCTCCTCAGGGTTCTCCCAGCTCTGGTTACCACCTCTACCGAGGCAGCTTGTTCTGGTGTTGCTGTTCCCACAATGCCCAGCAACACCGCTTGAGTTGGCCTGCTTCAAGCTTCCTGTGAGTGGTCATCCTGTCTGTTTTGTGTCAGCTTTTGCCCCGTGGTGTATTTGGGCAAATACACTGCTGTTTGGTCAGCTGTGTTTGTGATTGCCAAGGCTGAAGGCCATTGCTGTTTCCCAGATGTCTTACTCGTCCTTTTCTCCTGTCTCCCCTTGGTAGCTAGTTGCAGCACCATTAAACTCACTAACTCGGTGCCTCCCTTCAGGCTGCTGCCAAAATACCATGAGCAGGGTGGCTCATAAACAATGGAAACTTACTGGAGGGCCAAGGTGTGCCCACTGTCTGTTGACACTGTTCCTTTACAGATCATTTGTCGATTTGTCCTCACATGGCAGAAAGGCACACATATGCTCCCTCAGTTCCCGCTAAGGAGCAGTAACTCCAGTCATGAGCGTCTTCTTGATAACGTCATCCTTTAATCTTAGTGCCCTATGGTTTTAGGTTCTAGGATTCAAAGATTCGAGGGGACACAGACAGGCATTCATACCACAGCACTCCTGAAGTCTGCCGGCTCATGATCTGAGCCCTGTGGGGGAAAAGGAATTTGAGGACACCAAGAAATGGAGAAGAATTATGGGGTTCACATAGGATGCTGTTTTGTTGCCCACAGAGTGTACCCTCCCCAACAGTTGCTCAGCTGCTTTCAGGCAGTAAGTCCCATTGCAAGCTCACTTCTGAACATGGAGCCACAGAAGACAGACAGGGCCTAGGCAGTGGAACTGTTTTAGGAAGAATGAGAAGGGACGGAGACGGAGCTCAGTTGGTAGAGTGCTTTGCTGTGCTATGTAAACTAAGAAAATAAAGGCAGGACACATGTAATCTCATCTACCTGCTGGGTAGAGGCAGGCAGTTCCCTGGAGCTCACTGACAAGCCAGCCTGGCTGAACTGCAGGGTTCCAGGTAAAAAGGAGAGACCCCATCCCAAACAACAAGGTGGATGGAGTCCTGAGGAGCAGAACACCTGAGGCTGACCTCTGGCCTCCACACTTAGGCACACACACGTGTGTTCTCATATACCCACATATGAACGCACAAACATCAAGACAGACACCACTTCTCAAGATGCCGAAAGCTTGAAATGGCTGGTGGCAAGGGCCACACTTGTCCTGTTCCCAAACCGGAGTGAATTGCATGCCACCCTCAGGAACAAAGACCAGAGGAGACTGGGCAGTGCAGGAAGGGGGGGGGGGTGAAACAGAGGGAAAGTGTGTGCTTCAAGTGCAGAGCCACAGGTTAAGAGGGATTAAGGCAGAGGGCTCGGGCAGCAGGAGTTCCCACAGGCCCCTACAGGGCCTCCAGCAGCTAGGCCCTCTGCAGGGCCTGTGGGCTGGCCAGGAGGTGTTTCATTGCCATGGTTGGTTTCCCCAGCAATGAACTGAAGACTTTGGCAAGGTAGATGTTTATTCCTAAGCCCTTCTCTGCCTGCGCTGACCCCTGAAATCCGTGGGTCATTCCAGAGCCTTTTGTGGAAGCTCAAGCCTTTGGTTCTTGGTGGCTTTGAAAATGTTAATTTCTCTTCTCTGCCTGTCAGAGGCCCAGTGAGGAAGCATTAGCATTTACCCAGTGTTCTTTGAGCTGGAGGGTCCTGGGTGAATCCTGGGTGCTTTTAGAATCCTTGCAGAAGTGGGTGATTCCTGGCTCCTGCAGCATGCCGGGGGGGGGGGGGGGGGGGGGGGGGGGG